TCATTGATTACTTATTGACATGTATTGACATGATGGGTTAATTGGGCCACGCCACTATGTGCCGTTCTTTTGCATGCTATTGATTCTTTTTCTTTTGCATGCTATTGATTCTTTTTGGTTGATTTAAGTCGTGCATTATTTGCCATATTTTTTGCATGTTATCTATGATGATGGTCTTTTGTTGTTCTCGTTTTCATCTTGAGCCTTTATGAGATCTCTTGCTCTGGATTACTTGAGCTTTGGATTATTTGATTCTCTTATTCGTTGATGGGGTGCTGGAGTTGGATTGGATAGCATGTGGTTAACTCAAATGGAAGGGAGACTGGGTTTATTGCGGGTTGGTGCTCCTTCTTCCTGACAAGCTCTCTTTGAGCTTGATGGATAATCGGCTCGTGTTTTTGAAGAGCCGTGATAGCAAGGAACCCAGAAAGGAAATTCCCGCCTTAGCAATGAACAATATGATGAGCGGGCCTGCTAGGTAGGTAAGGGCTGCTATACCTAATGTGGTAGTGATGCAGGCCAGTGCTAGTTTCCAGTGGGTCTTGATCACATTGATTAATGGATCGAGACTTGGAATGGTGATATCGCTGAACCACTGATGTTTCAGTGGGACACCGTGGGTTTTCCTCTCGAAGACTGAAATGTCTTGAGGATCTTCTATGTGGTAGTGTAAGGATCCGTTCAGCAGAAACGTGGTAGGCTTTTCCGAGCAATGAGCGTTGCATTGTTCGTGTACTACGGGGTGATCAAAACTTAGGACGATGCTGTTGGTTTCGTTGGATGGTCCACATTTGACCAAAAACTTGATGTGACTTACAGGTCACGGTTATTGTGGCCTGTATGCTGGTTCGGCAAACGGCAGTGAAATGTGCACCTATGGCGCAGTCATAGCAGCCGAAAACTTCGGAGACATGGACTTCGCACTCTTGGCTTGTTACCAATTCAGCTGCATTATGCAGCATCCTGGACTCAATTCTTATAACCAGTTCCTCCTCGTTGGACGTAGCAACGATATCGTTTGCCTCAGCAGTTATTTTTACATGAGGCAATTGTAGAGGTAACTTGCTTTCCGGGTTGTCAGAAAGTTTCTGGAAAGAATCGTCAGGACATCGGCAACTTAGCGGTGAGTTTGCACAGCTTGCACTGTATGCGATTAGCACACGAGGCGAAGTCGTTCAGTGCCTGTGAGGGGGTGCCGCATGCGACGGGTAGTTGGTAATTGGGTGGGAGCACGTAGGCTCGATCAGTGTTGTTGGATGCGACTGCGAACTGAGTATGTTCTAAGGAACCCGCCAGTTTTTGGATGGATGCGACCGTGATGTTGAAGTCGCGGAGGTGTTCCGAAACGTAGGGTTGGAATGCTTGTGTGAATTTGCTGGTGCCGTTCTCTGTTGTGATCTCGATATCGAGAGTCACTGTTGGGGTCCAGTGTGAGCACCGTATTATTTCGAACACGTGATCTGACACTGGCCTGTGAGTAACTTTGTAAAACCAGCAACTGGGTAGCGGCAGGAAACAACCGCAAAACATCCCACCGCAGCTGCTCATGCAGCCGGAGTAACCCGGGTATTTCAAGGTATGGCTCAGCTCGGAGACTGTTTCCTTAGGGATTGAATGAGTCGCATTTGTCGGTTGTGCATGAGCCAGCATTTACACACCGCTTGGTGTGGTATATTTTTAGCTTGGATGGTCTCGTGTAGAATTCAGTGACTTTAGAGCATTTGAACTCCACTGACTTCTTCACGAATTTCGCTAGTCCTACTGACTTGTTCGCGTGCCAGATCTCAATACAGAGCTCTGACTGAGTCTGTTGAATAGGAGTTCTCTGCTGTACTCTAGATGGCAGTGATTGTTCTCATTGCATACGAGTTCAGCTGAGTGGCGCATAAATCCATGTTGGCATGCGCTGGTAAGGGAAAGCAGGCACAGTGTTACACAAATGCTGAGAGTTGAGCTTGGAAGTTTCGTTAGTTCGAAACTGTACGCATTTGCACCTGGTGCATTCTGTGCGGTCCGCTGTAATGTTGCGTTGTTGGGCCTATTGCTTAGTCTTTTTGACAGCTCAACTATGGCCCATGCAACACACATAACTGCTGTTATGACCAGATAGGTCAAAATAGCCGTCGTTGCTATAGCTCCGACGGGCCAGCAGTGCGGGTTTCCAAGTAAACCTTTGGATAAGAAGTATTGATGCTCACAGAATTCTGCTCTATCGCAGACCATGGTGTGCTCAAGTATTCCACTCTCTTCGAGTGTTCTGAGTCGCACCTTCGCATCTTTGTCGGTGGGGGATATGGGCAAAACGTACTTGGTCGTTTGTGTGGTATTGATCGATGGTTTACAATCGTTTTCGATACACACTTCGAACCAGCCCCTCGTTGGAGGTATGTATACGGTCCCATTGGCGCACGATATGGGGAGAGTGTTGACCGCAAGGGCAGGGGACATCACCATCATTAAGGTGATGAACGATAAGGCAGATGTCATCGGAGGTGATGACTTGGTATGCTGAACTGCGCAGTCCATGGTTCTGAAGAACTCATGAGCGCGAGTTTTGGAGTTGCGAGGAAGGGGTGTGCGCTGTGGTCTGGTTTCCGATCGCGGACCTGTGGTGGATGGAGCCTCTAAACCTTCATCCATAAGTGGAGCCCTAGCCTCACCCGTTCTTTCCGTGGTATCGTTATCTGGTACACTACGGATTTCCAACGGGTAAATCTTATTGAGTGGTCGATGAATGATTTTATGGTTGGGCATTAAAATTTTGGCTGACCTCACTAAGCCATCGGCTGACACGATAATGTCCGTGATTTTGCCGTAAGGCCAGGTACCCCGGGGCAGTAGGTCTTGCTCTATTATTACTATCTCGCCTATTTCTGGGCAAGATCTTTGCGAGTGCCTAGGTTGTTTCAAATGTTGTTTTTGCATTTCTCTCAGAGTCACTAGGTACTCACTCTTCCAGCAGTCCCAGAACTTGTTAGCTATCTTCTCAGAGAAAAGATTGCTTCTTCGGCTTGTTTCCGAGATTGGATAACTTCGGGATCGTATAGGGGGTCTTCTTCTTGCTCGACGTTACCACCTTCTGGAAGGGAAAATTTAACGTTTCCTAGGAGGAAGTCTATTGGGCGGAGGGGAACTGCTGTGATGTCCTCCGGATTGATCTTAGTAAGAGGTCTTGTATTGAGTATTGCCTCTATTCTGGTTATGGTAGTGGACATCTCGGTGAAGCTTAGCTTCCTCCGTCCTACGGCTTTGTTAAGCGCCTTTTTTACTGATGCGACAAGCCTTTCCCATACTCCCCCCATCCACGGTGACGCAGGGGGATTGAAAAGCCATTTTATTTTCTGGGATGCGCAGTAGGACATAAGGGATTGGCCCGTGAGTTCATCATTTTGGAACATGGTTGCTATGATTTGTTCCCCTTGCTTAAAATTTGACCCGCAGTCTGTGCGCATCAACTTAGGGACACCCCTTCTTGATATGAAACGTATGAAACTGTTCAAAAATGCGCCTGTTGTCATATTTTCCACGACTTCGAGGTGGACCGCTCTGGTGGTCAAGCAAGTGTATAAAGGCTACGTAAATCTTGTCGTTATTCTTCGAGGTGAATGGACCCATGAAGTCACATCCTGTATTCTCGAACGGTTTCGAAGCGACCACTCTGTCTCTGGGAAGAGCTGGCATCATGGGTGCACCGAGCGGCAGACCCTGATACTTTTTGCAAATAACGCAATTTTTCAAGTATTTTTTGAAAGCGTTGGACGCCCGAGGAATCCAGAACCTCTGGCGTGCTATGGTCAAGAGTATGCTCTTTCCCGCAATGTGCGTTTTCGCTATGGATTTGGCGAACGAGCAAGCGCACCAGCTCGGATTTGGCTGGAATATAGATGGGTGATTTGGTATCCACGGAAAGGGGGGCGTTCTGTAGCCGAGATTCGTGTCTTATGATACCGTTCCGGTCACAAATAACTTTCTTGTCTGGGAACCTTTTTTGCACCGCTTTGAGATTTTCTTGGCTTTGTTCCTGGATTAGGATAAGCTGTTCAGCCATCTCGATATCTGTTGAAGTGACTTCGTCTTCTGACGTGAAATTGGACACCACTTTTGGCTCGATGCTCGAGTGGCGATTTTTATTTGTCAATTCACCCAAGCTTTGACGGTTTTCCCGACAAGGGCAACTACACGAAGAGCGCCATTTAGTTTTGAGAAGCGGGTGAGATCTATGAGATGGACCGTCTTTTCACACGCCTCGGTCGCTGGTACCATTTGGACCAGCGATTCGCTGTGTTCTTCTTCTAACGGGGGGTCAACGATGGACTCGATTGATTTGAGCGGCCATGTGTTAGGTGTGCCTTCCAGCCAGCGTGGTCCCCGTACCCAAGCATGGTCGTTGATGTTCTGAGACGTTAGTCCTCTTGTCCCAGCATCTGCTGGGTTATATGAGGTCTCCACATGGAAGAACGAAAGTGGGATGTTTCTCGCTGCTGTAGCGTTTTTACAATTTCAATGCGCTCTTTTAGGTTGGCTACGAAAATGGGTAGTTTTTTTGTGGATTTGAGCCACCAGAGTGCAATTTCACTGTCGGTGACTATTGACACACTTTCTATTGATTCTGACAGATTCAGAACAATAGATTTACTTAGGCGCGCTGCCATTAACAATGCGAGGAGTTCTAGACGCGGGATCGTTTGGCGACACTTTTTTGGAGTTAGTCGCGTTTTCCCACTAATCAAGCCTGAAATGGCCTTTGTTTCCGTGTTTTGCCCGTAGGCGCATGTTGCCAGTGCCATTTTACTAGCGTCTGCAAAGACCCACAGGCGCATTTTGGCCCCTGGCGTGCTAAGAGGTCGCGACACAGTAATAGTCGCATTGGTCACCTCGTTACATAATCGATTCCATCTATAACACAGTATTGGGTCGATATGGGTTTTCCAATCGACTCCAGTATTGAAAACTTCCCTCATCATCGATTTTAAATGGACTAGCAGAGGACCTGCCAGTCCTATCGGATCGTATACCGAATTTATTTGACTTACAATGTCTTTTTTTGTAAGTTTATTCGCAAAGGGGAAGTCTGTTTCGACTTTGAAAGTATCGTGCGCTATATTGTACTGGACACCCAGTATTTTCAGACAGTCTGATTCCAGCCTGTCTTTCTTAGGAATGTTTTCATTGACTTGGAAGGAGTTTGATGTGTATTCTCGGAGGTTCATGCCGATTCTGGCGAACAACTCCTTTGATTGCTGGTATTTCAAAAGTGCTTCTCCCGCAGTTTCGGCAGTCATCATTATGTTATCCACATATAGATTGTTGGAAATTTCTTTAGCCAGGGGCGAAGTTTGCATAGATAGGTAGGAGGCTAGTGCCATATTTAATATGCTAGGGGAAGCCGTTACTCCGAATGGTAATCTTCGGAAACGGTACTGAATTAAGTTGTCCCTGGTGGGAGGGAGGTGGACATTTTTAATCCACAGAAACCTGCACAGGTCTTTGTGCGAGTTGACCAATCGAATCTGCGTGAAAGCAGCTTCGATGTCACACGTCAGCAGGATATTTCCTTTGCGAGATGAGATTAGTATATCGTGAATTTTGTTTATGAATGACTCTCCTTTGTGGATTACGTCATTGAGGGCCAAACTATTCCTCCTTTTAGATGACGCATCAAACACTATTCTCAGTGGTACCTTTTTGTGAGGTCCTCCAAACACCGGAATGAGGCATGTAGTAGGTCCCCACGGCGTTAGGTTCAGGGTCGGAGAAGGGTTCTATCGTACCTTCTTCTACATATTTCTGCACAATTTGTGAGTACCACTTGCGCTGTTCGGGAGACTGTTGTAACGCCTTTTGTAGGGATTCGAGGCGTCTAATTGCGACGCCGTAGTTGTCTTCAAGAAGAGCAACATTTTCTTTCAAGGGGAACGGTGCTGTTATGCACCCATTTGCGAAAGAAATTTGCTTGGAATATTGTTCCAAGTATCTGTGAGTTTTGTCATCGTTGTGACACTCTTCTTCGGATATCCCTAACCCTTCTAATTCGAACATTTTGCTCAGCATTTTTTGCTCGCTGTTCTCGTGAAGGGCCGTTATAGCATGGTAGGCGCTACTTGTCATCTTTTCTGCGGTAATTAAGCCCTTGCCGTATACGGTTGGACCGAATATTGTGCGCGCAATGTGCAGCCCTGTGGGTGTTGTTACCGTATGGTTTTGGCCGGATACCAAGTCATGGTAATAGTCCAGGCCGACCAAGATATGTGGGGTTTGCAGTTCACCCCGTAACCTTGAATTCGCGAGCCAAATGTTGTTTTCTTTTAGAAAGTCAACATCTGTATTGGTTAACCTGACGCTTGGGAAGCCGTTGGTCAGTACCGGCTTTGTTTGGATTTCTAATTCCAACTCCTCCCCAAAGCCGTTGCTTATTTTGGTTGTTACTATATGGCTCTCAAAATTTTCAATGTGGCCGCCGATGCCAGACATTGTGCAGATCTCGGTTGTCCGTTTTGGAAGACCGAATCTATCTGCTATTTTTTCTTCTATTATGGTTTTTTGTGCTCCAGAGTCGAAAAAGAACAGTACTTTCTCGAATCTCTGCTCTTTAAAGTTGTACAGGTTTCCTTCAGCAGTCATCAAGACTAGCTGGTAGGATTGCCCCTTCG